GCGCTGACCTTGACTTTTCACGAATGATCAGGAGGAGGATGTTGGATATTCACACATCGCATCGAACATGCGATAACTATTGGTAAACAGCGATACGTACAATGTCGCTCTCACCTTCGTATGAAGACACGCAGTAGCGCAGGCGTACATTCTGTGTTTGATACATGTACTGCTGGACATGCACACTGCATCTGATAGGATAAGTCTATTATCCGTTCTAGTTTTATGATTTTCTAGAAGAAGTTTCCTTCTCATGAAGATTGACTTTGTTCTTGACATACGTATGTTTGCTGAGTTGTATCACGCGCGAGAGTACATCGCTAGAATTACTTGTTGCTGGCGAGTAGTTGATGCATTGCATATGATTGGTCAACCTTATGTTGAGTACGTTTTGTAGACGCACGAGACGACGTCAGTGGGATATTTGCCCAAGGGGTCATGTTGTCTGATTGGTTGACACTTTTTTGGATATAAGTGGGTTTCGTCGGTATGCTTTGCTTGGATGGTGTAGCCACCATGCAGCCCCCATCCTCTCACCTGTTTTTCTTCCGGTCTCTCCGACGAAAAGACTTCATTTATTCAGCATCTTTTTCCACCTGGGAACTCTTCGTCCTCGTGCAAGACCCCGCCGGCACAACTCTATCACGGAGGTTGATTGCCACGAGCAGTGTAAGCCGTGTCGCAACGCACCACGTGCGGATAAGCTTTGCTCTGAGTTGCGCTTGTGGCCGACTGTAAGATCGCATCAGGTGCTTTGCTTACGTACATCGGACGTCAATTTATTTGGGCTCTCTCTTGCCATACGTACGAGCTCCAGGCACAGATTGAATATTTCTCTTTCCACACACTTGACAAGCCCGTGCCAAAGGTCATCTAGGTATGTGTTTTTCGTCAGCTTCACCACACACCTCCATTCCTAGAGATAATACGTCAGGACAGTCGTGTACCCTGTGTGCGTCCGCAAACGTTCATTTTGTTTGTCAAGTACAAGAAATAGTGCAGTACCATCGCATCTGAAATTTTCTCATTTGCTATTGCTTCCAGCCCCCCCATTTGCACTTGCGGGAGGCCAATCTTCGCGCATGTTACGCCTCTCTAAGTTGCCCGAACTTGAGCAGGGATCAGCCATGCGATACAGGAATACGACAGGACTGAATGAAGGTCGTTTCTATGATTTCTGATCTCCATTACAGCGGTCATGGTCGGCCTTCGAAAGTCGCCTCTATTCCACCCAGTTTGTCTCAAGGCGCAAGCCACTTCCCCCAACCAGACCGTATCTCTACCGCCAACGTATCAAGACCAACTTCGCCTCTAGGTTCCCAGATACGTCGGTGTCTTCAATTTTATCATTAAAATAGAGTTTTCTGCCACGTGGTGCGTTTTTCTTTCGCGCTGTGAAGGTCAAGGCGCATTTCTGTACGTATAGAACGCCCTCAATGACCCGAGGGATTGTGAGATTCTGTTGCTGATATCTTAACAGAATCTCCCGGCGTTGCAAACGACCTGTCTCTCGAACCGGGGAAGACTCCACAGGAACACCGACGTCTCGCGGTTGTTCCACAGTGCTGCATTCATGAGTACTAGCCACACACTGTGACCTTGTGGGGTCCCGGCCTAGAGTCTAACCCTTCAGGATGTCCGCTGAACACTGGATAGATGGAACGCCTTGTTAGAACAGAAGCTTTTTGTGAACAACTCCATCTGCAACTTTTCTAACTGAATCACATACGCAGATTAATCTAAAAGTTGTATCACTTTCGAACCGATGTGCTCTCTATGTGCGCCAGTGGGCGCACTTGTTATGTCGCAGCGCTTGAAGTGTCGCCGCGACTGCCGAATGTGAAACCTTGGTTAGCCTGGATTCCCAATCAACCCATGACATATCTGGTTTTGAACAGCAAACGCAAGGATGATGACCAGCCTGAGTCACCAAAACCCGTCATTTTTCTCCGTTCCGGCATTGTAGGGATGTGAGGTCAATGTACGGCAAGCGTTTACATGAGTACACCCCCGCCCGGGTTTGTGTTACCTCTCGCGTACCTATTTTCGTGTTTGATTGCCAGCCCTAGAAGAGCGTCATCCAAGCGCCGACGGAAGGCCTCCGCCCCAGGAACACCGGAACAATGTGGAGGCGGTGGGATGACGGCACCACACAACACAGTGAGTTCGGTGGAATATTCGTTCCTCCCGCATTTATGTGACCCAGTCATGGTTATGGCGTTGGCCCGTACATGATCTGCATAGGTTGGTTGGGCACGTCACTCATGCTTTGCCGGCTTTCCGCAGCTGCTGGCTAGTAATCACTGGGTGGCGTAGGGTGCGGAAGATATCTTCCGGGTGCCCACTGAGTGATGCTCTGCGGGGGGAACGGAGCATGCTATGTCTAGTTCTAACCACAACGATGTTGAGAGGAAATCGGCAATGCTTGCAACTGTCGCGAGTCTTTTTCTGTGCATGTTGACCTTTTTTCCGACGGTCCGTGCACCTACGCGTGAACGGTTTGTGTTCGACAATGTGTTACGAACGGCAAGGAGCATACATGTACATGTAGATCTTGTGAAACGCCTGTTGTACTTCTGGCAACCGAGAAGCCACCAATGCACGGAATCACTTCGGGTGGCGTACAGGGGAACAGCATGTGTTCCGAGTGGAGCAAAAGAAGGGAGACATCGTCCACAACTCGAAAAGCCTGTTTTCCAGGTGGCACGTTTTTCCAGAGGAATATTTTTTGCATGGCTGAATTCTTCGGTTAGAAACCGAAGTCGACGATTTGTGGAGGAAAACCTGCCTGAAGTGCCTGCTGTACAACATCCCCAAAAGCTATGGGATACGAAGGCGACAAGTCAGAGGCTTTGTCGATGGCGTTCTTGCGTGTGAGGTGACCATTTTTTCATCATTGAACCGTCTCCCATGAGCTTGGAACTTGCAGGACGGGTGGTGTTGGTGGTGGAACATCGACAGCTTACTCTACCCCGGCAAAAAGCAACAGGCAAATTGTGCACATTATCAGGGGCAAAGAAGCAGGGATGCCTTTTTGCGCAGTTGTGTGACATACTGAATCGTCTCTCGCCGCTGCCCGATGTCTCTCGAATGTTCAGGCTGAAAATGACCCGTTCTACACTGAAGCCTGCGGTCTGCTCGATCACGTTTTGAACCGAACGTTCTCCCAGTCGTCTCGTACGACCGCCAAACAGCATATCCGGTGCTGCAAGGAGGCCGGTTGCACAAAACGGTCATCGTACGGCGAATACGACACGAAGACGGCGGCGTTCTGTGCAAAGCACGCGAAACCAGGGATGGTCAACGTCGTCAGCAAGAGGTGCGGCCATCCAGATTGCCAGAAGCGGCCGTCATATGGTATAGACGGCAGCAAGAAGCCGCAGTTCTGCGCTCAGCACAGCCTACCGGGTATGGTGGGTTTCAGCAGCAAGAGGTGCCGCCATGAAGATTGCATGAAGCAGCCGTCATATGGTATAGACGGCAGCAAGAAGCCTGACTTCTGTGCCCAGCACAGCAAGCAGGGCATGGCCGATATCCGTGACAAGGGGTGCCGCCATGCAGGTTGCACGAAGCAGCCGTCATATGCGAAAGACGGCAGCAAGAAGGTGGAGTTCTGTGCCCAGCATAGCCAGCAGGGCATGTTGAAGATCGTCGGCAACAGGTGCCGCCATCCAGATTGCACGAAGCACCCGTCATATGGTCAAGAATTAACGAAGAAGGCGGAGTTCTGCGCCCAGCACAGCATGCCGGGTATGGTGGATATCCGCAGCAAAAGGTGTCGCCATGAACATTGCATGAAGCAGCCGTCATATGGTAAAGATGGCAGCAATATGCGGGAGTTCTGTGCGCAGCACAGCCAGCAGGGCATGGTCAAGATCGTCAACAAGAGGTGCGACCATGCAGGTTGCACGAACCTGCGGACATATGGCAAAGATGGCAGCAAGAAGGCGGAGTTCTGCGCACAGCACACCCGCCGGGTATGGTGGATATCCGCAGCAAAAGGTGCCGCCATCCAGATTGCACGAAGCAACCTTCGTATGGTAAGAAAGGCAGCAAGGCGGAGTGCTGTGCTCAGCACAGCGGTCAGGGAATGGTCGTTATCTCAAAAGCCAGGTGCCACCATTCGGATTGCACAAAGCGGCCGTATTACTGTATTGACGGAAGCAAGAGGGCGGAGTTCTGCGCGCAGCACCGCCAGCAGGGCATGGTCAACATCGTCCAAAAGAGGTGCCGCCATGAAGGTTGCACGAAGCGGCCGTCATATGCTAAAGACGGCAGCAAGAAGGTGGAGTTCTGTGCCCGGCACAGCCTGCAGGGCATGGTGGATATTCGCAGCAAGAGGTGCCGCCATCCAGATTGCACAAAGTACCCGTCATATGGTCAAGGAAGCACGAACAAGGCGGAGTTCTGCGCTCAGCACAGCATGCCGGGTATGGTGGATATCCGCAGCAAAAGGTGTCGCCATGAAGATTGCACAAAGCAGCCATCATATGGTAAAGATGGCAGCAATAAGCGGGAGTTCTGTGCCCAGCACCGCCAGCAGGGCATGGTCAAATATCGTCAACAAGAGGTGCGACCATGCAGGTTGCACGAACCTGCGGACATACGGTAAAGATGGCAGCAAGAAGGCGGAGTTCTGCGCTCAGCACAGCCTGCCGGGTATGGTGGATATCCGCAGCAAAAGGTGCCGCCATCCAGATTGCACGAAGCAACCTTCGTATGGTAAGAAAGGCAGCAAGGCGGAGTTCTGTGCTCAGCACAGCGGTCAGGGAATGGTCGTTATCTCAAAAGCCAGGTGCCACTATTCGGAGTGCACAAAGCGGCCGTATTACTGTATTGACCGAAGCAAGAGGGCGGAGTTTTGCGCGCAGCACCGCCAGCAGGGCATGGTCAACATCGTCTAAAAGAGGTGCCGCCATGAAGGTTGCACGAAGCAGCCGTCATATGCTAAAGACGGCAGCAAGAAGGTGGAGTTCTGTGCCCAGCACAGCCGGCAGGGCATGGTGGATATTCGCAACAAGAGGTGCCGCCATCCCGATTGCACAAAGTACCCGTCGTATGGTCAAGGAAGCACGAACAAGGCGGAGTACTGTTCGAAGCACCGCCACCAGGGCATGGTCAATGTCGTCAGCAAGAGGTGCAACCATGCAGGTTGCACGAAGCAGCCGTCACATGGTAAAGACTGCAGCAATAAGCGGGAATTATGTGCTCAGCACGTAAAGGAACGAATGACGATCGTTCGGCAGGCCACTTGCGAAAGACCAGGGGTTGCAATTTGAGGGATTGATGGACGTGTGGTCGTATCGCGTTCTCATTGATCGTTGTGTGGTTCGGGATCCACGTTCTCATTGATCGTTGTGTGGTTCGGGATTCACCACGGGTCACCTCGCCAGGGCTACTGAAGATTCATGGCTCACTTGGCACTGTACGTTCACGAGAACATTGCCGTGGTCAGGACGATGGTTCAGGTAATGCGTCCAGTTATGTAGCTGTATGCATGCTAATGTTCTTTACCACATGGTTCGTGGGCGCCGATACAACATGATGCACGGTGCTGAGGGTTGGTTGCTCCAGCCGTGTCGGAATGTAGGATACGGAGGATTGGTCCATGATATCAACGTGAAGAGAAATGTTGTGATATTGTGGAGAGAATATGCCGGGGGGGTCATGGGGGTGTCGGAGTGCCCGCTGTTCGTGTGCTTACGGAATGTACGTCAAAGATTGAGCAAAGGTTGTCGCCTACGGAGTGAATTGAAACAGGACGTTGGATAGTCATGCAACGACTTTCAACATTGCGCAGGAAGCTACAATATACCCCTTTCCCTCGACGGGCCGGGCGGCCAGAACAATGTATAGGCGAAACTCAATAAAATGGTGTAGTATGTCGAGGTACCCCGTAGACTGTGGGTGCCGGGGGAAAAGTGATGGCTCATGTCACTCAAGGGAGTGAGCAAAAACAAGTTTAATTGTTGCCTGATTTTGGCGTGCACCTACCTGGCTAGACCCCCGAGGGTTTTTGCCGGAGCGCCTTGCCAGACCCAATTGTTGGGTGATTACTGTGGACCGGCGGTTTATGAGTGAGTGCGGGTTTGAGAGCTGAGTTGGGACGTTCACGCCTGAAGCGCTGATGGATACCTATTAGCGTGCAGGCTCGTATAGTAGGATCAAAGTTGGCGGTCCATATCGAGCCTGTTGTCCAAGCTAGCCGCGTGCGAAGCTTTGGTGGCCACAAGCGTTTACGTACATGTTGTTCAGTCAGTGTTTGTTGCGAAGCGGGGAAGCCTGTTGATTGGAACTTGGCCCGATCCGTGTACTGCTGTAGCAGCTCTGACCGAATATATATCTTTAGCGAATTGGCTTGTCGTTGATGTCCACTCAAACACTCGTCCCATCATTCATGTGGTTCACGCGCTCAGCTTCCACCGTTGCCTTTGGGATGTTGCAGATGCCGTCATGTTTTCAGCACACACGCGAACAGTGTGTGTATGAGAAAGGAGAGATTAATAATGCAACATTGTAACCCACTCACACCGGAGCACCTTGAGCTGCACCTCTCATTGTTGGCGTTCATACACCTAAAGATATCGAAGACAGCGAACGGCTCTGCCAGGGGGACAGGCAACAAGGTGCTCGCTCACGCCGCCGTTGTTGCTCCCGCCGACCGCCCTACTGCTACTATTAGTTGCATGTGGCTAGTAGAAGGTCTACATGTAGCCACCGGGTTTTCGCAGAATCGACGGTGGACATGGGGAAGGAACAGACTCTAGGAGGCGTCCCCCAGAAGTACCTTGTTAACAGACGAATTCCTTGACCACAGGTCAAACACTCATATCAGCACGAGCACCACACCAGCACTACAACAACACCAAGGACTAACTTCCTCGCCAGAGACGACGCGTAGGAAGTTCTTTCCAAAGGGCTGACGGGTTCCCTTCCTCGGCGTGCGGTTTGGGCAGGATTGATGTCGCCCGTAGATGTTCGGCCTGGCGGGCTCTACACTCCGCGGTTGGTCGTCCTGCCAAGTAATAGATCGTCCTGATGGGCTGTTATTCCGCAGTCGCACCTCCTGAGGCGGTGCACATCGTCCTGGTGGGCTACAATCGCGCTCACCCTGACGAGTTTGGTTGGACATAGATCGTGGTGCTGCGATACAATATGCTGAGACTCCGTTTTCCCGAATTTTCTCTACAAAAATAATAATGTTCTTGTTAGAGGAAGAGAGAATCATATCTCCGAAATTCATTGACCGAGGGGGGAGGAAATTCCCACCGGCCAACAACCTATTCCCCTCTTCCGAGTTTTATCGATATATGGAGAAGTGAGATCAATTTTCCTGAAATTTCTCTGCAAGAATTGGAGAAGTGTAGATTCACATCTCCGAAACTCATTGAGCGAGGGGGGACGGAAACCCAGACCGGCCAATAATATGTAATATGAGATTAAAATATTTCGGAAATTGTTCTGCAATACCCAAAGGAGACGTGAGATTCAATTCAGGGAGGAGTGAGACGTATTTCTCCAGAATCATTATCCAAGATCGGAATAATAGTGATAATACTTCAATTATTCCTTTCTCCAAAATTCATTGAGCAGCAGGAGAGCCGGTAAGCCCCACCGACCAACTTGATATTCATACACTCTGACATAATTCTACAAGAATAGGAACAGAGGCGCCATTGGTTTTTTCAGAACCTTTGGAGAAGAAGCTTCAGAAACAAGTAGATCATCCTGATATGCTGATACTTTGGTATCGCTCCTGAGGCGGTGTTGAGATGCAAATGCACAGATTCGTCGGACACGATCATGACGTAAAGAGACGCGCTGCATGCGTGTGGCCCGAGAAGTTTACGCTTTCAAAAGGGCTGCGCATATTTGCGGCATCAGAAGGGGTGCCGAAAGACGCGACGGCATGCTTTTGGTTCGAAATGGATACTCTTGCAAAAGCGCTTGTTGTGTACATTTCCGCCACTAAAAAGAGGCGCTTGTTCACAACGCACGGAATCGAGACTGCCCCGATACATTTGCAGTGGGGTGTGCAGCTGTGTGGCAGTGGACCCTTACTCCTGTGAAGTGCGCCAAAAAGGGAGGTGCTTGTTCACAAAGCGCGGAACCGAAATTAGCAGTATGTATGCCATATCTTACAGCAGTGGAGGCTCCATCAAGATAACCCGCGGCACCAATTCTGCGGCGGGGTAACTGTGTGGCCGGACCTCTCTCTGACGTGTAGTGTTGAAGTAACAACCGACCATACGGCATGTGGAATTATGGAATTATCATACCTCTAAAACCTCTGAGATCTGCGATTCCTTTTCCCGAAATACTTTTATTCCATACATAACTGTAGGGGAAATGAGAAAAGTGATTCGTATCACAATATGTCTCCAGGAGAAATAGATAGATAGGTGAAGAAGTGATTCATATCTACGATGTAGGAGGTATCAGATCCATTTCTTAGATGACCAGTGGAGTAGAAGTGAGATCCATTTCTCCGAATTCATTGACCGAGGGGGTTGAGAAGCCCCGTCAACCCGAGCCTCCATTTGTCCGAAATGTTTCCACCATAGGGCAAGAATTGGGATTCATTCATCCGTAATTTATTGAGCAAGGGGGCACAAATGCCCCACCGACCGACTCGATACTCATTATCAAATTCCGTCGCTGTTTCTACGATATTCATAAAAGGAGAGGAGAGATTTTGTAGAAGGTGAGAGATTCACATTTATTTTCGGAAATGCTTAAGAGATCGAAAGAAGAGCGACGGCAACACGGCGAAGAGTAAAAGACGACAGAATGCATGTTCGCACAATTGTTGTGTCTGCTGCTGCGGGCGGTCGGGGGTGAACTTAGGAGGAGGGACATGGCTCGCGATATGCCCAATCGAGACATACTCAAGATATCGCGAAACGTCCGCAGTTTGTCGACAATGATTTCTGCCACACATGCTTACGGTGAGATTCGAACCTTCCAAAAAAGAGTGATGAGGGTCAACAAGAGAAGAAGAGAGAGGTCAACCAGCGAAGGCGACAGAGAAACAACGCTCATGGTCGCACATGGCCGGGCACTTGTGAAGTACGCTACTGCGCCCACCATGCCGAACCAACACAAATGTATGTTTACTATTGAGAGCCCCGTTTCTTGGATGTAATGGCCTTCCAAACAGTTTGCCATCTCTTCTCAAACAAGTAGTAAGTGAACGCACAGCAGCAGCATCAGTCACTCTCTTATACACCATCGATGTCGGAAAAGGCACGCCACCACTTTCGTCCCAATGAGACACGTTTCAATTTAAGAGCGCGATCGTCGTCGTGCTGGAATTGCATTGCGCTCTCCCGACTTGGAAAACGAAAGTTGAAGTGCCCGCGTCTAGGCTGCATCATTTCCTTCTCGCATGCATCATCGCTTGGTTTCAGATGTGAAAGGCTCCGGCTGTTTTTGTTGTTGATGACGATAGCGATTCGCAACACATGTGTTCGGCGTGCCACAAGGGTTGCATCAAAACTTTGTTCTCCGCTCTGCCGACGCTCATGAAGGAGTTCTGTGCGACTGAAGTCATGCAATGCCATCTCCTAGAAAAAATATTTACGGTTCTTCTGGGCAGCAGAAACAACTGGATTGCCGTCAAGCGCATCACAAACAAACGCAAAGCGACGAGCGTGTTGATTCCATTGCCCGGTGTGACCAAGCACGCGGAATGTCTCAAGATCCTATGCATACAATACTGTCAATGAAAATTGCCAAAGTGGGCCTGCAGCTACTGTGATCAGGGTTCATTCATTGCGCCCGCCCAGTCTGGTTTGATACTTACACTTCGCAAAAATGTGCGAGGTATCCCCGCGGCAAGCCGAACCACTCCGGGCCTAGCCGAGTCTCGCACAGTACAACCCGAGCACAGTGCACATATGCAGCAACACAAAAAAAGCCCCCTTGCCTTTCCTCGCCTCTTCCGTGTCATGCCGTATGTCCTCGAAGCCGCAACGAATGACGTCTGTGACCACCTCCTTAGGTTACGCCCGGCGCAAATCATTTTCCGGCACGATTCCTAATCCTCCCGGTGCCGCCGCGCAGCATGCCCGACAGATTGTGCTCTGGGCCCACCCTTAACCTCCAGCAGTGGTTCGCACCTTCGCCCCGGTCGGCCGTCACCTCACCACCTCGGAGCAAAAACATCACAATCCTCCAGCGGCGGCATGCACAGCCATCCACACGGCAAAACCCCACACACGTGAGCCCAACAATCGGAAATCAGGGCCAGTGGGGAACGATACCCACTGCACACAGAAACATGTTCCCCCTCCGCTGACACTCCCGCCAAACCAATGAACCGCACGGCGCGGAAACAACAACAGGCAAAGATCTCCCATGCATGTAACCCCGGTTTTCAACTTCCGACGCTCCTACGTGTTATCGATCATGCACCCGCGTATGAACCCCACCGCCGCCGCCGCCAACAAAAACAAGAAAATATGTCAATTCACTCTACCGTCGCTAATACGTAGGCGGCCCCGCAGACTCCCATTGCAACGGCCACCGACACCCAGCAAAAACACTCTCCCCCCGCTGCCCCCGGCGCCCCCGTCCCGGCGCCCCCTCCTCCTCCTGCTGCTCGACCGCCGCCGCCCGCGGAAGCGCCCGATCCCGCCTTGCCTCCTGATGGTGCCCCTCCCCCAGCCGCCGCCGCCGCTGCTGCTGCTACTGCCGTCGTTAACCCTGCCCCGGATGTCGCCGAGCCGGCCGAGGCGCTCGCGTCCACCTGTGTGGCGGTCAAGGGTCACGGAGGTTCGCCGAACAAGGAATACGAGGAAATCAAAGAAAAGGGTGAAAACAAAGAGGAGGAGGAGGAGGAGACGTTCTGTTTCAACCTGGGGGGTTGTCATGGGTGGTTCGCCAAACAAGGGATACGAGAAAAAAGCGTAAACAACAAGACGCCAAGTCCCGGCACTGTCTCTCGGTTTTCCTTCCGACCCCCCCCTCCTCCTCCTTCTCCTCCTTCCGCCCTGTGGCCCCTCCTCCTCTCATCTCCCCCGGACCCACGCTCGCAAAACAAATTATCCCAGATTTAGCCACGCTAAAGCGTCACTTGAACATCGTGCTCGAAAGGATGTCTTCAAAACCCCGACAAGCCGCACAAAAGGTGGAGATCGACACCCAGCAGCACCAGCCTGCCTTCCACAAGGAACAAGAATAGAAAAAATCTCCTTGCGTGGCCCCGAATGGTAAGTTCAGGGTTTGTAGATACCGAGAGGTGCAATAGACACGCCGTCCAGAACAAACTGGATGACCAAAAAAAAAAAAGAAGAGCACCACACGGATCAGCGTGATCAGTATCTAGCTTCGACCCCCGTCAACACCTGCTGCGGCACGCGTGTGGAACCTTTGGGTTAACAGATCAGCGTGATCATTATCTAGCTTCGGCGCCGACAACACCTGTTGCCGACACTTGTGTGGAACTTTTTCGGTCACCTCTCTCCGATGTGCGATGGCCTCTGACTTTCGTCGCTCGTGCAGCTCCACCAGGTCAGGGAACAGCTTGCGGAAGGCCGGGTTCTTGCAGTTTACCTCCAAAGACTCGGTGGCGAATCTTTTTTTCTGGACACGGAGAAAACAGAAACCATAGATCGACGCACGGATTTCTGTATTTTTCTGAGAATATACATTACCATTTTGTCTGCACGCGGATCAAGGAACAACCGTTCTACAAAAAAAAAAAGTTTTTTGGCAGTTTTACCTCCAAAGACTCGGTGGCGAATTTCCTTTTTTTGCACACGGAGTTCTGTAGACATTTTAGCCATGGATGGATGCACGAATCTCTCACTTCCTAATGAATATTTCTTGCAATTTTACCTCTTCAGACTTCGTTACAATATTCGAATTCTCCGGACAACGTGTTGCCGTTCTTCACGGAACACGCAGCCGTTTTTATGTACTGCGTGTGCAGAAAAACACATTCGCAAACGAATCTTTAGGGGTAAAACACCATCACCACGCTGTACTACTGTTTTGAAGCCGAAGCAACCCGCACGCTGCCCAGGGTCGCGGTGTCGTTTGTCGCGGCAAAAACATGTTCGTTCCCCGTCATCCATTCACCTCTACGCAATCGACAAACACCGTTTCCACGCCACACCTGAGCAGTAGAGCTCATGACGCTGCCCCACGTCGCGACGACTATAAAACATATATATATATTTATTTTTTTTGTGCGAAACAAAACGTGTTCGATCTCCGTCACATTTTCAAGCCAACATAACCGCCATCACCACCAAAAACATGCTACCGTTTCGAAAAAGAGCCGACCCGCTACAGTACTACACCTGAGCGGTAGAGCTAGCTTGTGACGCTGCACAAGGTCTCGGGGCGTTTTTTCTTGTTTTTATTGCCAAACAACAGGTGTTCGAGCTCCGTTACATTTTCACGCGTCAAGCAAAAGTGTCCCACCACCGCAGCAAACCTTACAGTCCTGAAAAAGAGCCGAGCAAAGTACACACCTGAGCGGTTGAGCTCGTTACGCTGCCCAACGTCGCGGCGTTGTCGAGCATGAAGCTGTAGAGCCCCATGAGGATCGTGCTCACGCTCCACATGGGGTTCCACGACTCCGGGTGGAAGTCGGACATGCTCAGGCAGAGCCTTCTGGAGCAGGCGAACCGGCCGTTCGGGGTCATCATCATCACGGACGGCGGTTTCATCGGGTACTGCGGAGGTGGTGGGTAGAGAGACGGGGGGGGGGGGGGGGGGG